TTTGACTGCATACCCGAAGGAAATCGACAGTTTCATCCTATATATATATATATATATATATATATATATATATATTTAAGAGAAGGGTAGTCTATGACTGACTAGTTGAGGTAAAATACTAGTGATTTAGAAACAAACACTGTGGTTCAATTCTTCATAGGGTTGCAGTCAAAATTTTAGGCATCAAATAAGTGAACTCTTCGTTATTTAGCCGAGCTTTCGGAAATGTTTATTTCCTTTTTCGAGACATCTATAAGAAAAACGGTATGCATAAAAAACAACATCAAACTCATAAGAAACTAAGTACTTACTTAACATGAGATTGGTTTAAAGTTGGAACAATTAAAGAACAGACGATTCATTTGCTGAATTTGTTACACAAACTGGAATACATTAGGATTTGTAAAACGTAGAAAACAATTTAAAAAACAGTAAACCACCGGTGCTTTTTCATAGTCGACTTCGATATCTCCACAAGATGGAAGCTAACAAACGGCCACAGATGATACAAATAATACGGAAAGAGCCGAATCGATTTCGATATCGATTACGAAAAGGTACGGATGGTGGGAAATTTGAATTGATAATTGGGTGGTGAGCCAACTTATTATTGAGGATTTGTTATTGATAATCTGGAAATATTGTTAGGAATACAGTTCATTTGTTCAATTTTAAGTAGATAATTATAAATGTTGCTAAGATTGTCGATATCGGACTTTTTATTCATACTATATGATTCATTATTAATGTGAACCATTTCCAAGAAAGTGCGCTTCAAATAACTATTTTCATGTGCTAAAATTTTGACCTCGTTAAAGTTCATTCTATGGTTTGAATCAATGACATGTTCAGCTAGTGCACAGCGTTTTCTATTACAGTTGCAATCACTTTTGTGTGAAGAAATCCGTCCTGATAAATTTCTCGAAGTTTGACCGATATAAGTCAAGTTGCAATTAAGGCAAGGGATTCTATATATTACATTATTCATTTCTAGTTTATTCATGGGAGTTTTGGTTTTAGAAAAAAGGATCGATACTGTTTTAACTTGTTTTTTTGAAATGATGATATTTTCATGTTTGAAGACATTAGACAATTTTGGAGTTAATTCTGCTATGTATGGTAGTGCTTTGTATTTTGGTAGTACTATAGGAACTGGGTCCCTAGCTGAAACATCATTGATTTCAACAATTCTATCTTGAGAGTTGAATAGTATATTATTAATAAGTTTACTAGGGTAAGAATTCTCCAGCAAAATCACTTTTAATTCATGAAGACTATTTTGTCTGTATATTGGGTGGGTTAACTTAATTATCCGGTTCTTCAAAGCTTGGACTAGATTGATTTTCATTTTCATTGGGTGATATGAGTGGAAACTCATGTATCTATTACTGCACATCGGCTTCCTGTACCACTTGGTACGCAAGATATTATCATCAGCTCTGATGACTGTCATATCTAAGAAAGGTAAGCAGTGGTTTACTTCCGGCTCACAAGTAAACTGCAGATTTTGATCATAGGAGTTGAAATATTCAAGAGTTTCATCTATCCAGCCTTTAGGAACACATAATATTAAGTCATCCACATATCTTTTAACAAAAGGTATCTGAAAAGGAATGATGCTGAGACAATCCTTAACCAGGTCGTCAAGGACATAGTTTACTAGAATTGGGGAAATCGACGATCCCATAGGAGTACCAAAAACTTGTTTATAATAAGTATTATTAAAATTTAGAAAATTTGAATCAAATATGAACTCAATACTGGATCTAAAAGAGGGCCAATCTAATTTACAATAGTTTGAAATCACATCCCATTTGTTCTGCAAACTTGATAAAACACTATGCAGAACAAATGGGATGTGATTTCAAACTATTGTAAATTAGATTGGCCCTCTTTCAGATCCAGTATTGAGTTCATATTTGATTCAAATTTTCTAAATTTTAATAATACTTATTATAAACAAGTTTTTGGTACTCCTATGGGATCGTCGATTTCCCCAATTCTAGTAAACTATGTCCTTGACGACCTGGTTAAGGATTGTCTCAGCATCATTCCTTTTCAGATACCTTTTGTTAAAAGATATGTGGATGACTTAATATTATGTGTTCCTAAAGGCTGGATAGATGAAACTCTTGAATATTTCAACTCCTATGATCAAAATCTGCACTTTACTTGTGAGCCGGAAGTAAACCACTGCTTACCTTTCTTAGATATGACAGTCATCAGAGCTGATGATAATATCTTGCGTACCAAGTGGTACAGGAAGCCGATGTGCAGTAATAGATACATGAGTTTCCACTCATATCACCCAATGAAAATGAAAATCAATCTAGTCCAAGCTTTGAAGAACCGGATAATTAAGTTAACCCACCCAATATACAGACAAAATAGTCTTCATGAATTAAAAGTGATTTTGCTGGAGAATTCTTACCCTAGTAAACTTATTAATAATATACTATTCAACTCTCAAGATAGAATTGTTGAAATCAATGATGTTTCAGCTAGGGACCCAGTTCCTATAGTACTACCAAAATACAAAGCACAACCATACATAGCAGAATTAACTCCAAAATTGTCTAATGTCTTCAAACATGAAAATATCATCATTGCAAAAAAACAAGTTAAAACAGTATCGATCCTTTTTTCTAAAACCAAAACTCCCATGAATAAACTAGAAATGAATAATGTAATATATAGAATCCCTTGCCTTAATTGCAACTTGACTTATATCGGTCAAACTTCGAGAAATTTATCAGGACGGATTTCTTCACACAAAAGTGATTGCAACTGTAATAGAAAACGCTGTGCACTAGCTGAACATGTCATTGATTCAAACCATAGAATGAACTTTAACGAGGTCAAAATTTTAGCACATGAAAATAGTTATTTGAAGCGCACTTTCTTGGAAATGGTTCACATTAATAATGAATCATATAGTATGAATAAAAAGTCCGATATCGACAATCTTAGCAACATTTATAATTATCTACTTAAAATTGAACAAATGAACTGTATTCCTAACAATATTTCCAGATTATCAATAACAAATCCTCAATAATAAGTTGGCTCACCACCCAATTATCAATTCAAATTTCCCACCATCCGTACCTTTTCGTAATCGATTTCGAAATCGATTCGGCTCTTTCCGTATTATTTGTATCATCTGTGGCCGTTTGTTAGCTTCCATCTTGTGGAGATATCGAAGTCGACTATGAAAAAGCACCGGTGGTTTACTGTTTTTTAAATTGTTTTCTACGTTTTACAAATCCTAATGTATTCCAGTTTGTGTAACAAATTCAGCAAATGAATCGTCTGTTCTTTAATTGTTCCAACTTTAAACCAATCTCATGTTAAGTAAGTACTTAGTTTCTTATGAGTTTGATGTTGTTTTTTATGCATACCATTTTTCTTATAGATGTCTTGAAAAAGGAAATAAACATTTCCGAAAGCTCGGCTAAATAACGAAGAGTTCACTTATTTGATGCCTAAAATTTTGACTGCAACCCTATGAAGAATTGAACCACAGTGTTTGTTTCTAAATCACTAGTATTTTATATATATATATATATATATTAGATTAGATTAGATTAGGTATAGGTTTTGTGGGGATGCAACTGATGTGGGACTCAAAAGAAAACTCTTTTTACTTTTGAGAAAGCTTTCGGAATTTATTCAATTCCTTCGTCAGTCTCTCTAAAATGGAATGCACAATTATAATATTCAGAAGAAATGGGTATCAAAAATTACCTACAGTATATGAGGTTGTAGAATTGCAAATCAGAATAATATGTAGTATAAAATTGTAAAAAATGCATAAATTCATGGATATAAAACTAATATAACTTTGTCAAAGTGACAATATGTAACATGAAAAAATACATGGGGTTGAAAAATTAGATAGGTAAAAGGTTGATCAAGATGGAATTGAATCCATGGATATATATCTGATTTTTCAACCCCATGTATTTTTCATGTTACATATTGTCACTTTGACAAAGTTATATTAGTTTTATATCCATGAATTTGTGCATTTTTTACAATTTGATACTACATATTATTCTGATTTGCAATTCTACAACCTCATATACTGTAAGTAATTTTTAATACCCATTTCTTCTGAATATTATAATTGTGCATTCCATTTTAGAGAGACTGACGAAGGAATTAAATAAATTCCGAAAGCTTTCTCAAAAGTAAAAAGAGTTTTCTTTTGAGTCCCACATCAGCTGCATCCCCACAAAACCTATACCTAATCTATTGATTTATACAGCTACTAATATTAATTGAATATATGGTATTGATAGACGGTATAAAGTCAAGTAGTATGTATTTCGATACCATTCAATGAAACGAAGCCCGGTTCATAAAGACCTAATTATTTTCGAGTATTCTTCATGAGATATCAATTGAATATCGATATAAGAACTCCGAGACTTCACCAGGAAGTTGTTCGACAACAATTGGAAGTGAAAGAATCCCAGATCTCCTTATAACTTAGATCAAAAACTCTTTATGATTGCTGAAGAATAATAATTAAATCCTTTCAACATTACGTAGTTTTCTAGTGAAATGAGATATAACTAGTAATTATCTCAATTAATAGCATGTGCCCCACAGATAATTATACGATTCGAAACATGTCATATGCTCAAAGGAATACTGATGAATGTACCTACCGATATGAATCTTACGGAACAGAATCAAGGTGGAACATAAATTCCATAGTGCCTAAAATATATCTACTCGGAATGGAGGAAGGAAGTTTTTCTCAGTTTGTGTGGTTTCATATAAAACTTTTCAAATTACTAGGATATTGGAAACTAGATCCTGAAGATAAATATAAGGATATGTACGAGTTATACAACACACTCTGTACGTCAACATGGATTCTGTCTTTGTTGTCACAGATGGCTTCTTTGATAAGTGAATTCGATGATATGAATGAAGTGACTGATATTTTATTCATAGGTATTTGCTGTATACTTACTTTCATCAAAATAATGGCAATTCACAGAAACTTGGATTCCATCAAGAATTTGTTGTCGGCCTTGGACAAACCATTGATGCAACCGAAATGTGATGAACAGTTCAAGCTCAATGAAGCTACAAGGTCATTCCACAAAAAAATCTACTTACTGTTTATTTGTATGGCCTTCCAGATATGGGCTTTCTTCGTAGCCGTTCCATTTTTTGTTGATGAAAGAATTATGGTACTTCCAGGCTGGTTTCCTTTTGACTGGAAGGTTTCGCCTTATTATGAAATGATTTATGTTTTTCACACTCTTGTTCTGTTATGGATCTGTTTCTTGGGCGCCAACGTGACTACCTTCAGTTTTGGTTTGATGATGCAAGTTGGACTCCAATGTGATTACCTGACCGTGGTTTTGGAATCTTTAGACGACTTCCATGTTCATCATGGGATATTGTTATGTAATATTGATGAAGATGATAAACGTATGATGAAACAGCATCCCAGACAGTTCTCAAGAGTGATCACAGAGAATTTGATAATCTGCATAAGACATCATCAAGAAATACAGAGGTGAGTTGAATGAAGTTGTTCCAATCAAGTACTATCAACTTGAGCTGTAGCTGGTTTGATTTCTCGAGTGATCACATGAACAACTTGACGAGGTTCAAATGAGGTTTTGGGCCAGAGTTGAGGTTATTTTCAGAAAACCTTTTTATCCTTCATCATTCATCTGACGTTGTCTTACTGAAAGAGGTCTCTTGGTTTCACCTGTATAAAAGTTTCCACAAACACAAGGTATACGGTAAATAAAATTTTTTGACGATTGTTCTTCATTTTTCGGCTTTGTTTGAGTTAGAATTGATCCCATTGTATTTTCAGTTTTGAACACAGTTTTCACTTGAAATTTGTCACCAACACGTTTTATTTTTCCAGAAAAAATTGACATATTTTCAACTTTCTGTTTATGATTGTTACGATGAGAATTGGTGGCTGGAAAACAAAAAGCATCAAACCCAATCCAGTTTTTCCTCCTCTTCACAATTCTTTCGATGTACTGTGTTAATTATTAAATACAGTGTGTTATTTTAATATTTCGAATCAATGTAGATTTTTCCTGAAGCCGAACCTGGATTTTCACGTCGCCCGATGAGTGAATGAATTGAACGTCCCAAGTATAAGCTCCTCACCAAATTTGAGAAAAATATACTGGGTAGGTCAATACATATAGACGAATTAATAATTATTCGAAATTGATAAATCGCCCTGTATCTCCGTTATGGATAGACTTTGAGACCTATCAAATAATGTATTTTCAGAACCACCTTGGTGACCCCTATCTACCATTGGAATATTTTCCCTTACCTGTGAAACACCCTGTATATATATACCAAACAACAACTACAGAAGCATATCTACTATACTAGATTATATTTATTATATTTGATATTTTCATGATGTTCTATAGATCTGTAGAGATTTTTATCATATTTTATAAAAAAAACATATCAGAGTGATGAAATTGATATTCAAATTTTGCTAACAATGGTATATCAAAATGTTGAATATTAATTCTGGGGAATTGTTATGATATGTTATTTCAATAGTGGAATAGTTTTTATAGAAGTTTGTTTGAAAATATTATACTTGGTTTTGTAGAAGCCCAAATTTGGCTTTTATCAATGCATCAATAAGTTTGATAAACTATCGAACAAACAAGCGACATTTTGGGAGATTTGTTCATGTGACAGGGAAAAAAAGATATTAATGAGAAAAGATTGAAGCATTTGTACAAGAAGTTCAGAACAAGATATGTGTCATTGTAGAAGTTAGATGGAATTAAATAGGCTTAGTCAATGAATTAAAAAGTGTAAGGATTGGTCAAGTGAGAGGAGAATGAAAAAAAATCTGGTTACGTGAATAGGAATAAACAGAGGAAAAAGAAATGGAAAAAAAAGGTTAGAAGGTGCATGAAGAAGATTGCAAGAATATTCATGGAAAAACGAAACCTACATTGATAAAACTACAACGAACGAGACGACGAAGTTATTCAGAAACATCAAGAATATATCTGGAGTCAGCAGTTACAAACCAACAAGGTATTCACTTGTTATTTCATCAGAGAGAGAATTTTTTGGAAACAGCAGTTATCTTATCCATACGATTTCCATATTCCTCGTTCAAGATATATCCAGCCAAAGCATAAGCAGTAGACTTTCATCAAAAGTGTTTCAAAAACTGATTTCCGAAAGTGTTTAGAAAAACCATATCCATCCACATTCGAAATCATTTATTGTCATCGTTGTTGATGTCTTAGCGTATAACGTAGTTGGTGCAAAGTAGGTACTTTAGTTAATATTAGATGATTTACATTTCTTGTCATGATTTCGATTTCTGAACAATATATTTCCTCAATTTATATCTCAATATCCCTTTCAATCAATATCTACAATAAATTATTAACACAATTTTAACATCGAGATTCGTTCACATCCTCAAGGAATACTACTTGAAAAAGAAAGTACATCATGTTCATAGGTTCACCGATTGAGCTGAGGCAATGAACTAAGGGTAATTGGTGAGCAACCGAAGCAATTGGTATAAGATTGAAGCTAGGTGAATGTTTTTAAACTTATTTGAGCTGTTCTATTCTCACATATCTTAATAATTCTCTTTGGATACTTACTATCACCATAATATAATAAATACCACAAAATATGTTAACAATAATTGTCACCGCAACGTGGGGCCAATTTCGGAGGTGTGAATTATTAAGGGATTTTGATATTTTTGAAAATTCTTATATTCAATTTCTCAGCAAAACAGTATGTTCTGGAAGTTTTAGTTTGATAGTGAAGTTTGAGGAGAGTGAGAAATTTGTAAGTTTGGAGCGTATAAGTGTGGGGGAAAATGGATTTGAGAGATGGAAAAAGAGTTGGTTCGGAAGGTAGTGGAGAGGGAAGAGAAAGTGGTGATCATGAAGAAACTAGTAGAATGCAACAGGAAGAAGAAGGTAGCAATGTGAGTGAAAGGATAGAACAGAGAGAGAAAACAAGAATGTAGAGTCAGATTCAAATGTTGATGCAGTTGATTTTCAATTATATGGGAAAACTGGAAGAGTGTTTGAAAGAAAATATAGAGGGTGTTGAAGAAAACATGGAGAAAATGGAAGGAAGAATGCGAGTGAAATCAGAAGAAAATAAAAAAGGAAATTGTAAATATGTATGAGGAATTTGAAAAGTGAATTGCACAAAAAATAGGGTATCTTATGAACATACAGACAAGAAATATCATGTATGAGTAATTCACTAGAGCGGAATAACAGACAAATTGAAGACATAAGAATAGATTTAGGAAATTCTAACCAAGGAATCAGGAATGAAATACAGGAAGTGAATAATAAAATTGAGCTACAAAAAGAAAATTCAAATAATAAAATAACAATGGTGGGGAATGAAATCAAAAGAATGAAAGAAAACACTATAACAAATGTAAGTAATAATGAATACAAAAATAAAATTAGAGGCTCGGAAGAAAAAATGAGAAATTTGAAACTAAATAGATCAAATAGCAATATTGAAATTAGAATTATAAATACATGTCAGAATGTACAAATGAATAATAAATTTGAGGGTAATATTAAGAAACTTCATCCTATAACTATCATCGAAATTATAAAAAACGAAACAAGAAATACTACTGGTATAGAGGAATTGAGGGAAACAATCAGACAATTTTCACATAATCAAGCTTGTGTTTGGTTGAATAGCCAAGAAAAAGATATTAATAGTTTCGAAGATTTTGAATATCTGTTTATAAGACAGTATTGGGGAGAAAATGCTCAACTTATAGTTAGAGACAAACTACAATTTGGTTAGTTTGACGAAAACAGCAGCATGAATTACAATAATTACGCAATACAAGTCTTTGCAATTGCACAACATCTGAATCCAGAAATGATAGAGGAGGAAATAGAAGGAAATATAAGTAGGCATTTCAGACAGGAAATTTTTGAGTTCATGAACATGCATGAAATCAAAACAATGAATAGATTGAGTGAATATTTGCTGAGACTTGGAAGAACTTCATCTAATAGAAATGTGGAAATAATAAATCAAGATAGAAATGCACAAAATAGTTATTTTCATAATCATGACAACGGTATATGCAAAGTCAGAATAATCCTGGAAACATTCCTAATCAAACTAATAGAAACATACAAAATCAAAATAATTATCAGACTCATAGTAATAATGAGATTGAAAGTTACCAGAATAGAAATCAAAATTCAAATTCTCATAATAGATATAATGATGAAGGAAACTGAAGAAATCAATTTGTGAATTGTAATGATACAAATAGAAATCACAATAGAAATTATCATCAGTATAGAAATACAAATCAAAATCAATATACAAATCAGGGACAACAATACAATAGGAATTCATATTCGGATAATCAACATGTTAATGAACGAACAAGACAAGTACATTTTAGAAGGACAGCTAGTAGTCTAGATAGCCAGAGGAAAGGACAAACAAACATGAATAGACCATTGGAAAACGGTGGCCAGACAAATGCAGTACAAATTTCAGGTACAAATGAACAACAAAATTTTCATTAGATAGACGATATGAAAAGCTGGACAAACCAAATAATGGTCACCCAATTGAATTTTCGACGCCAAATAAAAATATGGAAAATAAACAAATTGATAGGTTTAATTATATTAATAGGCAATATAGAGGACAAAAAAGTAAAGATTCTAATTGACACAGGTTCAGAAGCATCTTTAGTAAAAGAAAATAGCTTGGAAAGTCTCACAGAAATTGAAAATACTATTGTGAAAATGTCTGAAACAAGTTTGATTGGAATCAATGGTAAAAAATTAGCAGAAACAAATCAATGCATGAATGTAAATTTGGAGTTAGATAAAAAAGCGATTGAATTACAATTACTCGTAGTCAATGATATGGAATTTGATGTAATTATAGGTACAGATCATTAGAAAGAATGAAAGCTTGAATAGATCATGGAAGAAAGGGTATAGAAATGGATAGTAAGTGGTTTGAATTTATTGAAACAAATCAAGAAGAAAGTATTAGGAGAAATATTTTTTGTATGAGAGGAATGAATGTGAGAAATGGAAATGATAACAATGATAATGAAGAATATCAAGAAAAAATAAATGTCATGATAAATATAAAGGTTATGTTAATGAATTATTGAATGAATATAGGAAATTAATTATGTATGAATCAAGGATAGCAAAAGAGTATGTACACAAAATACAGGTGAAAGAAATAGACAAATACAGATCGAAAAACTATCCAATTCTATATAGATATATAGAGCAAGTTAGGGAAGAATTAAAGAAGATGTTATTTGAAACATAGAATAATAGAAAAAAGTACTAGTAATCACATTAATCCAATAGTTGTTGTTGAATGTCTTTCATGAGAATATCATGTCAGATCCATCGCTGAAGCGCTTTCACGAAAACTCGGATTTTTATTTCGTGCAAAAAGCTACTTCATACCTTAACAGCTTCTTATGATTCACAAAGCACAAAT